GATTCTTTTAAAAATTAAACAATTTCTACTGCCCTAACTGCAATGAAAAATTAATGAAATATTAAACTGCTGAAACCGCTAGGAGGGTTCACCACTGATGAACCAGGTCTTCCCATTGATTTTTCATTGCAGTAAGAGCAGTAAAAAATTGTTTAATTTTTAAAAGACCCATACGCGTCTATAATAGTTTGGAATTCTAATAATATATGACGCGCTAATGTATCCTATAATTAAGAATAAATATCATGTAAATGTTGTTTTTTTATACATATTATATAAAAATATTATTTTATTTTAAATTATAATTTCATAGATTCAAATACTCTGCTAAATCGACGGCCAGTGGTCACGCTTACCCTATAAAAACTCATTGTTGTTGTTCCCCGATGGCCGGCTCAAAACTTTTGTACATTATGTAAATAAGCTTTTCATTTTTTTTTTATTCTTACGCCTTAAGCCAGGTAGTACTTTTATCAAACTATGTTTTTAAATATATTCCTTTAACTCAATTAAATTACTGATCAAAACTATTATTTATTATCATACTTTAAAGATTTCAACCACGACTGCATTCCCATACCATAATCTTCAACATGATCTAAATTCAAGCAGAAAATCTCATTTTCTTTATTAAATATAACATACATATATTTCCTATGCAACATAAAGTTACGGTAGGATGATATACATGCACCAAAAGAGTCACCTCCTCTTCCTTTATATAAACCCCCCTTAAAGACATAGTATACAGTTTAGTGTTTTGTCTGGATTTTTCCAAAACTTGGATTGTAGTTGGCTCTTTATCGCAATATTTACGATCTGTACTGGAGTGATAAACTGAATGCATTGTTTTAATGCTATTTTAAAGGGAGAGGTGCCATTTATTTATATATATATTTCTGAAAATAGAGAGCAATCCATAATTAAATCATTAGATAATAAAAAGGTATATATTGGATTGAATAAAATATTTATTTACCAATATTTCGGTTGGCTTAACGCCAACCTTTATCGAGGCATTACATTTTTGTATACACAAATGTTGGCATTAATGTATACATAAAGGTTGGCGTTCAGCCAATCGAAATATTGGAAAATAAATATTCTATTCAATTCAATATATGCCTTTTTACTATCTAATTTATTTATATATTATAGTTTTTAATGAATATATGTATTTTTGAAAAAAGAAATATCAATAATTTTATTATATAATACACTTTAATAAACTATATAATATATACTCATGAACAAAATTTAAAGAAGTGGAAAGTGTTTGTGACTAATGAGCATGCGTAAAACTTGGCTGGCGAGATTGCGCATGCGTCCCAAAGACCAATCAGCATTAGAGAGTGTACCATGCCGTCAACCTGAAGAATAAAACGCGCGATATATAGGTATATTGAATTATATAATACGATACAGAGTAATAATATAGTTTTTATAGAATTAATTCGTTCCACATAAAGTTATTTTGATTATCTAAACCAAAATATTACACATATTTATATTTTTAACATTTACATAGAGAACAGTAATTACACTTGTCTTCAAATTTAAATGCATATTTGTTCTAATCTAATTTTAAAGCTCTGCAAAAGCAAATTTTGTTCGATCCTATTTATAGGCGTATTTCAATTTCTGGGAAGGATAATTACAACTACTCTGTCGTCAGCCTGCGCATGCGTAAGGTTGACCAATCAGCAACAGAAGGGAAACTTTGCCATCCGCAGTTGATTACAGTCAAATGAATCACCCGGACCAGACGAAATCCAATGAGAATAAAACAGATAATTTGGCGATTTAAGATGTATAGTGAAGTGAATATTCAATTTCTGATCAAGATGTAAAAGGTGCAAGTAGAGATAGCAATATCCATCTAAATAATTAGATTATGTATTATAACTCCATTTTTCAATACTATTAGAAAGATAAACATAGAACTGAAATTAAGAAAAAGGCATCTCCTTATCGTGCAACAGAAAGTTGCTGATGGCTTTCGCCATCTATCGGAATAAATATCAACTATTCTCGTTGATTTTTAATTATTCCAGAATTGGCCAAATACCCATTCTTGATTAATCAAGAAAAGCTAACACGGACGCGTTTTGGACTGTTGGCCCTCATTTTTTATTGATTTATAAAGAACGGGTATTTGGCCAATTCTGGAATAATTAAAAAATCAACGAGAATAGTTGATATTTATTCCGATAGATGGCGCAAGCCATCAGCAACTTTCTGTTGCACGATAAGTAGATGCCTTTTTCTTAATTTATACACCATATCCCAGTACAATATCACATTTGTAATATTTTTTCACATAGAACTGAAAGTTTAAAACTGGGAGAAAGCAACCTGGCCGTCGCTGCTCCAAAATCTGTCCCGATCGAAGTGGGTCACAAACTGGACTTGGACAAATGGGACCTTGCCACGCGAGCTTTGTGTTCTTTGGACCAAGTTGGCTGTTTTAGTGGTTGTTTCCCTGGTTATATGTTGGAACAGAATAGTTTATTCTATAACATGCTATAGTGTCTTGTCTTACTTCTATAGCATCCTCTATATACCTTGATAAAACACAATTTGGATTATAGATTATAAATACAAGGTAAGACCAAATCCAAATAAATAAATATTATGTGAAGTTACGGTAACAGAGCGTTGTTACCATCTTCAGACAAAAGTACTGAATGAGAAATGTACATTTTGTCTGAAAATGGTAACAACGCTGTTACCGAAACGTCACACAATATTTATTTATTTGGATTTGGTGTTATTACCTTGTGTTTATAATCTATATACCTTCTTTACATATTGGTTATTTGAAAAAGAGAATTTTTGATTCCCATAAGATTCGTTGCCTATTTAGAATTAATTCTAACAAGCTTTGAATAAAAGAGAATTTATTACTATTATCAGATCTTATTGCCTATTTTTGGCATTTATTTTAACAAACTACTTTACTCTTGATATACCTTCTTTACATATTGGATCTTTGAGAAAAAGGATAATTTATGATTATTGTCATCTTTTTGTCTATTTGGTATTTATTCTATAACAAGCTATATTCTTACTTTTTAAAAATAGAATACCCCCCATAACATCTTTAAATATAGAATCTTAAAAAAGTATATACGATTCTTATAAACTTCGTTGCCCTATTTAACATTTATTCTAACAAGCTATAGTCTTACTTACTCTTCTGTTATATAGCATTTCCTCAATACCTTCTTTACATATTGGACTTTGAAAAAAGAGCATTTCTGATCATTATCAGAGCTTGGCATTCTTGGCATCTTTTTTTTTTTTTTTTATCTCTACAGACCTTACTGCGATGATAAATGTTATTGAATGAGAGGGCTTGGCTCATTCAAGCCCTCTCATTCAATAACTTTTATCATCGCAGTAAGGTCTGTAGAGATAAAAAAGAAACACATTACAAAAAACTTGAGTATGTGTGTTGCAGAATAACATATATATATATATATAATTCGTATATTTTATAGTTTGTAGTTTTCTTTTCAACACGTTCTCCTTAAAAAAAACTGATTTCTTTTCTGTAAAAACCGGCATGATTAGAATCAAGGGTGATTTTAATGGCTTTCCTTTCTTCTTTAAACTTCTACCCAAACCTTGTAATTCACCAATTGTTTATGTAAAATAGTTCTCTGAATTTAGTGTTGTTGTTTCTTGGCGCAAGCATCCTTTGTGGGAATATCGCGTCTGATTTGATAATAATAAATGAATAAAAAAAAGCATGATTAGAATTGATGTCATAAATGTAAAAGTTGCAATCCCCCACGGACGGAACGAAATGGTAGGGGGGAAATCTCCGGAGAACAGGGAGGACACTGGACTAGCAAACTTGGCTTTTAGGGTCAATGAACTTGGATAGCCCCTCCTCCAGGAAATAGAAAAACAAATATTACCATATATGGTAATAGTCACACACGTCTCTTTCTTTTAAGTGTATTGATGATCATTTTGAACAAGAAATCAACTCCACCCTAAGAGTAAATTTGAGCATATTTGTTCAGATCGGAAGAAAGACTTATCATGAAAGCTGATGGGGTTCAGTGTTTATCGCCTCTATATTTCTTTATTGCTGTTTGCTAGAATCATCCACCAAATAATCTGAAGTCCAATAACCTATGTGAGATTTTCCATCCTAAGAGTTGTATGAATTAATTTGAAGAAAATATAGAACAATCAATACATATATATGTTATATCAAAATATTTTATTTAAAATTATGTTATATTAAAGTATTGTTTTATTTAAAATTATATTTCATAGATTCAAATACTCTGTTAAATCGACCGCCAGAGGTCACCCTTCCCCTATAAAAACTCGTTGTTGTTTTATCCCAATGGCCGGCTCAAAACTTTGTACATTATGTAAATAATCTTTTGTTTTCCTTGTTTACTCGCCTTAAGCCAGGCAGTACTTCTACCAAATTATGTTTTTATATATATCCTTTAGTTCAATTAAATTACTGATCAAAACTATTTATATTTTTAAGATTATTGACCACGACTGCATCACCATTACCATAATCCTCAACAATCAAAATACAACATCTAATCTCATTTTTTTTATTTATATATAATATATATATATCGCTTTGAAAATAGAGCCATCCATAAATAAATCTTTAATTAAAAAGGCATATATATTGGATCAAAATATCATTTTTTTAATCAAAATTTTATTTGGCCGAACGCCAACCTTTATCAAGGTATTATAAGATATTAATGTGTGTCAACAATAGATAAAATAAATGATACTTTGATCCAATATATGCCTTTCTAATTAAATATATATATTAAACATTTTTAAAGAGCCTATCCTGACCCCTCACATTAGAATTTTAGATGGTAAAGCGCCATCTAATGGAACAAAAATAAACTAAACATATATATTTAAGTTTGTTCCATAATAATAATAATTATTTTTTCTTATTTTTAACATATATATGTATTTTGTGTGAGAAATATACGCTTACGGTCATAACACACTGAAAACACCGGTTATCGTATGATCATCCAAGTTAAGCAACGTTCGGCCCGGTCAGTACTTGGGAGGGTGAAAAATCGGGTAATTTAGGCTGATTCCTCTTCTATGTAACATACATAGAGGTCTATCAGAAACACCAAATTGTTCCTGCGGAGAAACTGAACAAACTTCACCGTATCTATGACTGTCCAAACTTTACAGAAGTGAGACATCGATTCTTCCCTGATCTAAATGATTTAACTCTCTTACATCAGCCACTTTGTCTATATAAATTTTATGAACTCTGTCGATTAATACATGTAAATTTATAAATATTTAATTCTAAGTTCTAATTTGTTTGTTGTTTTGTTTATTTCCTCTGTAATAGGGGAAAATATTTCAATATCGCGCCTGGGAGATTGTTAATAAAATAACATATTTAACCTTGTATTATAGACATTTGTAGACAGTTTGAGTAAAGCGTGGCGTGTATAATTCGTATAAAGTGAATGGTGTACGCGGGAGAGATAAAACTGTATGAAATTTGTAGCGATTAATAAATTGAAAGAAGACAAGTTTCTTTAATCATTTAACGACGCAAGCTTTCGGGCAGAAACCCTTCTACAGGCAAGCTAAAGCATAAATACGATACGATGCTAAGATTCTGGATCAGACCAGTGGCTAGGTAAGTTCTAGATTCCCGCTCTTCAAAGAAGAAATGTAATCAAACTTGTCGAATTATCGGGGTATATCAATAAATTAGTTAATCCTAGATAAGCTTGCCTATAATTAATAATTAATTTGTATATACAAGGAATCTTTGGTGTGGATAATCTCTTTCAACATGAAATCTTTCAATTAAATTCAGGGATTAGAAAGATGAGAATAAAATTCAAGTTTAATGTATAGCGTGAATAGGAATATTGACATATGCAATTGTTCCCATTTTACATATTTCCTATATTATAGAAATAGGAGGAGAATATTGTTGCATACACAGGAATATATCATGTACTTCTGTTGAAGGGTTTGTGATACCCGAAAGCTTGAGAAGAATATTGTCGCAAATTATGTATTATTTTATTAACAGAGTATCATTTTTGATGTTTATATTCTGCTACTCTGTAAAATTCCCTCTTTGCTTATCTTTTCTTTATCATTTATAGTTTGTTCTTGCCTTAAATAAATTGATATCTCATCCCGAAGTTGGTCTTCCTTAATTTTCCACGTGGCAAAACAAGAAACTAATCCTTGGAAGCCGTTTTGTTTGTTATTTATATGAGCTATTTTTTAATTATATATTTTACATACTTTTGGAATAAATCTGTTTCTGGAGGACGCTGAGAAAACATAAGAATCCGTGAGAAACAATACCTAATGTACATGGAAGTAGATATAACAGCATATCCTATAATTGTAATTTGAGAGTTTATTCTTAGATCAACGAGGAAGAGGTGAACGAACTATGTCATCGAGAAATTGATAAACTCTTCTGTCAAGGAACTAAAGATCTAAGATCACAATAATAACATTTACTGGGATATATCGATTGATCTGCCACAGCGTTTCTAAGTATAGGGCTATATAGTGATGATATGTATAAGTACACCTAATTGAAATTTAATTGAATAAATCTCTAATATCTTGCATATTTTCATTCTAAAATATTCCTTTAAAACTTTCTTCAATAAATTGTTTTTCTCGAATACACACAATACAATTTGATTTCATTTAACTAAATTTGTATACCAACCCTTTGTACATATTTCAATTGTTGTTATTTTTTTTTATCTTTACATCTAACGAGCTTGCATACTAATTATTGTACAGATTTCAAATATCTTTCTTTTCTTTTCTTTCAATATTTTGTTTACCTTTATAGTGAAAGTGTCCCTAAAGAGACATAGCGCTTTAAGTTGAAATAAAAATAACCTAATTGCATATCTCCCAGATAACAACAATATATTAGAAAGAAATTGGTTCAAATACCTTGTGAAAATGAAAGCAGTACTTTTAAATGTAATAGTATGGTGAGTTAGGTACCAAACCTAATTGCATATCTCCCAGATAACAACAATATATTAGAAAGAAATTGGTTCAAATACCTTGTGAAAATGAAAGCAGTACTTTTAAATGTAATAGTATGGTGAGTTAGGTACCAAACCTAATTGCATATCTCGCAGATAACAACAATATATTAGAAAGAAATTGGTTCAAATACCTTGTGAAAATGAAAGCAGTACTTTTAAATGTAATAGTATGGTGAGTTAGGTACCAAACCTAATTGCATATCTCCCAGATAATAACAATATATTAGAAAGAAATTGGTTCAAATACCTTGTGAAAATGAAAGCAGTACTTCTAAATGTAATAGTATGGTGAGTTAGGTACCAAACCTAATTGCATATCTCCCAGATAACAACAATATATTAAAGTGAAATTGGTTCAAATACCTTGTGAAAATGAAAGTAGTACTTTTAAATGTAATAGTATGGTGAGTTAGGTACCAAACCTAATTGCATATCTCCCAGATAACAACAATATATTAGAAAGAAATTGGTTCAAATACCTTGTGAAAATGAAAGCAGTACTTTTAAATGTAATAGTATGGTGAGTTAGGTACCAAACCTAATTGCATATCTCCCAGATAATAACAATATATTAGAAAGAAATTGGTTCAAATACCTTGTGAAAATGAAAGCAGTACTTTTAAATGTAATAGTATGGTGAGTTAGGTACCAAACCTAATTGCATATCTCCCAGATAACAACAATAATACAAGAGAAGGAATCCCCTGACATCATTTGAAGAAGAAACAATATATTAGAAAGAAATTGGTTCAAATACCTTGTGAAAATGAAAGCAGTACTTTTAAATGTAATAGTATGGTGAGTTAGGTACCAAACCTAATTGCATATCTCCCAGATAACATTCCGGCAATCTCCTTGACAGGAGAGGGGACCTCCCACAGACAAACAGATCAACGAGGGGAAGATGATATCTGGCACTACGTCACCACACATTCGGTCAGGATAATTAAACAGCTCAGCAACATGGAGAAAGAAAAAAATACAGCGGCGCCAAGTCTGTTCCAGTAATTAGAAGTTTTTTTTTTCTCTAAAGAATTCCCCTCCACCCCCCCACTTCTGTTGCCAAGTGTTCGGAGGTGGCTCCCAGAGTTCCAGGAACAACTTCCGGGCATGCTGGGAAATCTACGTTATATTATCGTCTGTTTGTTTATACGACACCCCCCCCCACATACACACTTTAGAGACACGCCACTGTTGGTAGGAATCCAGGTCTTCTACACTCAACATTTATATTATGATGTATTAGCAGCCATCTGTTATGAAAATTGGAAACTATTATAGACGCGTATGATTCTTTAAAAAATTAAACAATATCTACTGCCCTTACTGAAATGGTAAAATTAATGGGAGGGCCTGGCTCATCAGTGGTGAACCCTCCCAGCGGTTTCGACAGTTTAATCCATCATTAATAATACAATCAACATTGTAAAAAGTCAAAGATATTTTAAAAGTGTGCATCTCCTTCTATCGAGCCTTGTGTTAATCCATTGTTGGGTTTCTCCCTTGATTATATTCACAAATCATTGTTACTCCCTTGATTATCTACAAGTCTTTTTTTATTTTCTCATTTCTATCATTATGTGTACCTTTCAAATATATATTAAAATATAATGCCATAGAATAGTATGTATTTTGTGTGTATATGTTCTGGCTGTTGTTCTTTGTGTGTGTAGCGTTATTTGTGTATGTCTTATGTATGTTTTGTATCTGTAGTGTTATATGTGTTGTGTCTACGTATTCTCTATGTCGTGTCTTATGTTTATACTGTTATGTGTGCTGTTTCTTATATGTGTTCTGTAGTTGTGCTTTGAGTCTGTAATATTATGTGTTTTGTATGTGTTCTGGATGTTGTGTTTTGTGTTGGTGATATGTGTGCTGTGTGCTTTGTGTATGTGGAACGCTTCACGATTTTGCGTGTCATCCTTGAGCAGGGGCCATGCTAATCCTCTCTGTATCGTTCCAATCTCAGTATATGCACCGCCGAACAAGCGTGTACTAATAATTTAAAATAGGGGTTCGCGGTTGCATTATTTGCTTTGACAACCACTACTAGCCCCGGCCGGGATTCGAGCCCGATGCCTCCCGGTTCAAACCAAGCAGGTGAGTGAAAGGCACGGTGGGTTCAGCGTACTTTGCCCTGCTTTGTGTATGTGGTGTTAGGTGTGTGTAGTGTTATGTTTGCTGTGTGTTTTGTGCGTAGTGTTATGCAAATTATGTATGTGTTTGTGTGTAGTGTTATGCAAATTATATATGTGTTTTGTGTGTAGTGTTTTGTATGTGTAATGCTATGTGTGAGACATCAGAGACTTTCCACTTCATTATGTCCATGAGTGTAACTCTAACCAATAGAAATGTGTTGGAATTCTATAGACCCTTCATTAGAAGAAAGGAAGGACTGGGGAAACAAATGCTATAGCACAGTACAGACTGAATGGGGGAACGAATTTGAAAAGATGCACAGATAACGGTAAACATATGGCAATAACATGACATCTACACTCAGGGATAAAAATAAGAAAATGGAAGGTTTTTGATGTCGCCGGTCGTCTGTTTTTTTTTTAAGGAGACAGAGGCAATTTTTTTACACTTAGTTATCTCGTGTGCTTTCAATAAATATATCACTGTAATATCTTTCAGAGTTATTGTCTGAATCCCAATATACATTCTAAAAGGTACAACTTCTTTAGACAAGGCTCATAGACAAAACCTAAAGAGTTTATGAGCGTATGATATGTGTTTACACTTGGTTATCTTCTGTATCTCCAATAAAGGTCACTGTAGTATCTTTCAGAGTTATTGTCTGAATCCAGATATACATGTTAAAAGGTACAGTTTCTTTAAGTTTTGTCCATGAGTGTATAATATGTTTATTAAAGGTAGACCTTTTCAAGAATTTCCAAAATACATATTTCTAATTTAACAAATATTTTCAATTTGTGGAGAATCAAATGAAAAAAGTAAGAGAAATTACTTAATATAATCCATAGGTTAATATTTTCATGGATGATTGATTAAAGTAGAGAGGTTTTATTC